CCCCACAGCCAAGCCTCGGGGACTTGATATGCATCCCATCTCGTAGTCAAGTGTTGATGCCGTTATACCTGTGTCCTCTACATTTTGATGATAACGAAGTGGTGTCGAAAATGCGAATTATGTCGATCATTTTAATTAAAAAATAGCTGATGAAAATATGACAAGGACAGTTTGCATATTTTGGTTCAATTTGTTTAATATATAAAGTTTTTGAATATTTGGTGTAATTTCTCGTCAACGAATCCTATTTTGTCCACTCTCTGGCATTTTAAGGAGCAATCACATTAGCAAAATTCATGGTAAAAAAGGTCCATTCTCAATAATGTCGATATGGACAAAGCACAGAAGTCACTTTTAAAATCTGCATTGGGAAAAATTCCTGATTGCATGGATTCCAATTGAAATGAATAGATTTTGTCCAAAAAAGTTTGACAAAAATTGCTATGCAATGGTGCATGGTGACTGCATAAAAGTCAGAATAACTGACTGAAATGAATTATGACAGGATGAAATATTGACTAAATTTAAAGGAGTTATTTAAAAAAAGAAACAAACTGAAGAATGACTGAAAAGAAAATAACACTGCAAAGATTAATACTGTTCATTCCCCACCATCACCTATAATTCACCCTAAATCACCCTCATATTCTTTAAAAACAGTTTTTCTTTATTCTATTGCTGCGTCCCAATTCGCATACGATCCATCCTAAATAGTATTCGAAAATAGAATTAGTATGTCCCAAATCATAGTATGTTTAAAACAGTATGCCAAAGATTCCCAGATGGTCTACTACTTCCGGTTAGAATTGTAAGTGCAGATCGATGCACACTCTAACGGCTAATATTGCCCACAACACATTGCGCGGTGGACGAGGATTCAATTAGAACTACATTAAAAGTGTTAAAAAACTACAAACATGGCAGATATACGCGACCAACGGACAGGTAGATAAACGGATTTGAGTGATAAATAATCAATGTCTAACCTGATGAAAAAATATAAATGTAATGTTATCCATGTTATATTTCATCTGCAGCAACACTGTGAACTTTTATAATGATACTTTTGGTCATTAACTTTTAAATGCATCATTATGCAAACGCATGAGCAGAGTTCTTGGCATGATAGACCCGCGACTGGCAGATCAACGTACCTCTTAATTTCTCTCCAATACGGTAGGAATTCAAATTAAACTAAATGTGGATGATGTTAACTGTGATAAGATGATTGACAGGGCAGTTTAAACAGTGACAGAATGCACGTAACTAAGCAACAGAGCGTCCGATAAAGACGCAGTTATGACGAAGTAGTATGTCCCAAAGCTTGCCTACTATTCTTCTACATACTCAAAAGTATGTACTTTTTCTTCACAAAAAGAGTACATACTTTTAGGGCATAGTATAAGTAGGCGAATTGGGACGCAGCATATGACTACAAAAGAGAATACTTTGAGGAATGTTTCAACGGCCCATAGAATGAAAGCCAATGAGTTTTATTGTATGGATATGAAGGTGAGTAAATGAAGACAGAAATTTATTTTTTTGGTGACCTTTCTCTCTTTTTGACCTAAAATTGTTCCTACAACCCTGGTTGACTGCCGTTCATGAGTTGTTTTTTGGTCACTGCATCAATGTCTCACCATGTTTCAGCAGCTACCTCCATTTTAGCATGGCATTTCTAGCTCAAAACATTTAGTAAAACGTGTCTCAAGATGTTCTTGAGGTGTTAATGGAGGGTCAAGACAAACACAGAGGCAGCTCCAACTGAAATGTTGGCATTTGTGACCTGAAAAAGTGGCCTGTACGATCCTCTCTACCCCCTTTAAACTCCACAAAAACATTCTTCACCCTTCAGTGCCTTTCCTGCTCTTGAGAAAATCAATGTCTTGGTCGTAATTATTTAACCATTGATAAAGCCTTCAGCTCCTGCTAGAGCCCAAGCACCTATTCAACACACTGAGGCTGACAGTGGGAAAGATAGAGATGCTTTGGCTGGCGGAAAAGTGTGAGAAGTGATCGGCTGACTGCCATCGGTCCTCTCGACAAGTCGGAGGGATCGAGGAGACAAGTGACTGCTCCCGGGTCAACTCATGTCTCTCCTCCTCTTTATTGACACTTAGCTTTACAAAGAGCCCCCCTGGGCTCCCCAGACAGTGACAAATTGCAATGGTTTGGCTGTGTTGAGAGTGAACAGACACTAACTTAAAGCGGTAGGGAGTGGAATGGTGTGGGTAAATGTGATTTTGATTTCTGTTAACAGGCTTCATTTGTAAATGCAGTACAGAGACACTACGTTTAATGAGTGTAAGAGGGCTGATACACTGGATTTAATGTTTTGATGTCATGGAGGCCAGACGGCCTCCAAATGTTGACCTTGTGTGTGTGGCCTTGGGTTTACCAGCACATTTACCTGATAACTGATTCCGTTTTAGGATTCATTAAAAAAATAAAAGCTTCATAAAGGATGTTTGGTATGAAATTGTATTATGACAACAGCTGCCACAATTGTCCCAACACAAAAGATTATACATATTTATATTTATACATTTAAATACATGATTTATAATTTTAAATGTAAATTTTTTTAAATGCAAAAATATTTATTTTTGAAATTATTTTAAAAATTACATTCTGTTAAACATTTTATTGTTATGCATTTTCTTGATTTTTTCCATTAAATGTTAAGTTAAATTTTCAACAACAACAAAAAATGCAATAATATCTCATATTTGTATAACTGACATGGCAAAGCAATCTTGATGAAATTAGCAGAATTTTGTTGATTTACATTTACTGTTGTTTGGTTCATTTTTTTCATTGGTCAAAATACAGTCATCTGAATAGCAATCCATGCAATTGGGAATTTCTTGTTAGGGTGAAAGATTTCCCAAAGCAGATTTCACAACAGATGATCATGTGTTGATCATGTGAATTTTCTGCATTGACCAACACAAAAGATGCTTGGTTGAAAAGTGACTGAGCTTCATACATTGCTACACTATTGACAATAAAAAGTGGACCTTTTTGGTCTGTGAAATTTTGCTTGGTTTTCGTTTGACTTTGTTTTTTGGATCATAAAATGTCTGGTTTAATGGCGCAAACATTTGAAAGTAACTTTATCAGCGCAGTAACACAGAGTCCCCGCCACCCCTCACCCACAGGATACTATTAATCGGAGCCATCTTTGATCTCTAGGCTTAGTTCTCTTAGTCTCTCTGGGCCTGGCACACAGCATGGGTGGAGCGAGCTGCTAGAACGGAGCAGTGCCTGGGGCGATACACTCCCCTCAGGTGAGAGTTTTATTATGGATGATGTTTCCGCCAAATTATTTACACCAACACTCTAGATTCCCCACAAACTGCAACCAAAAAACCTCCGCTACGCAAAACCCGATCAACATAAACATAGCAACGTTGAGAGGTCTGGAGTTTCATGTGTTTTCAGCACTAGTCTTTGGTCTAGGTAAGATGTGAGGAACCTTCTCAAGGTGCAGTTGGGGAGCTGGACAATAAGGCTTCGGTCCTGCTCCGTAGTTTCTGGTAGTTCAGGGACACAGCAAACGGAACTGATAAGATCAAAGCACCTTAATGTCCCCTACACATCATATTCTCTTTTCCGGAACCACAGGACGGAACAATCGTGACTGATATGATGATGCAGACGTGGATGGTTGGCATTAATATTCCATGTTCTTATGGGGCCAAACAGACGCCCAGTCCTGTTTTTTGATGCTGGTCTTTCATGGTGGAGACCTGCAGCTTTTGTGAATTGGCTGTAAGAGCTGCCTTGACCTGTAAGTCATGGATCCTCCCAACATTTCAATGTAAAGCTAGCAGGCTAACAGAAGAGAAGCACTGAAGGTTACTGATGGCTAAAAGCAAAACTGGATGCACTTGGCACGCAAATCTCCAGGAACAAATGACCTCTTGATTTTCTTAGCTCCAACAGAGTGAAAATGCAACCTTGGTTTTGCAAATTTCCAAGTTTTTTTGTCAAGAATTTGTGTAGCTTAAATAGCACTTAAATGCAGTATTCCAATGAATTCTGTTTTAATATTGCATTCATTTTTACTTTTACTATTATTATTTATTTGATTTAATAAATAATAATAATTGATGCACCCAAAAATGTTTATTCTGTCATAATTCAAACATGGCAGGTCAAGATTGATTATTGATTAGTGTGTGTCTTGTAAACAGTCATTAGCCAGGTTTTTATTCACATATTTAATGCAAATTTTGGGATACTTCATAAAAATTGCTGGATGGAAATACCAAGATTCACATAAAATTTCCAAAATGCACATAAAAAATGGTGAGTACATTTTTGACTTTATTTGGCTGGAAACATATTTTCCGCATAAATTAACTGAAAGAAAAAAAATGGTCGAAAAAGTCACATGACTGACTAATTCACTCAGGGAATAGGAAATGGCAGGTTGAAGAGGATGTCAGGAACTTGAATTTTGGAAATTTGAATAGAATTTTGGAAATGTGGAAATTCCCAAAAAAACTGGAACTGTTTTTTACTGCACTCTTTAAACCACAGTTATTACATTTATTTAAAGAACGCAACAGTGGCTTCGACTTCCGTTTACATTTTGCTGAAATTTTCCCCAGAAAAAAATGATTTGGTCTTTTGAACACACTGAAATGTGGCTTTGTTCATAGATTGTTTCTGCAATATGCAGATTTATGATGAAAACATTACTAGTGACGTACTGTATGAAGAGTGACGAAATGAATTCTAGAGTTAATGAGATCTACACCGTTTTCTGAGAATAACAGTTTGGGGCTGACTGAACTATTCTTCCATCACTGGTAAAGGAGAGACGGTGGCATTCATAATGATGGTCTTATCATACAGGGGGAAGTGAATGCGGTCTTGTGGCTTATCTCAAGGTCCCTCAAGAACCTTGGGAGCAAGCAAGTGAGATTTGGATAATGCACAGAGGCTGTAGCCCGCTTCTCTCCACCCTCCACCCCTTTCTCTGTACTCACCCAAGCTGAACAGCACCAGGAACTTGAGGCAGACAAACTCCCTCTGGTCCAGCTGGAGGGATCGTAGTTTGCTCACCAGCTCCTGCGCGTGACTAAGGAGGTTGTTGAGTGTGGCACCGGCTTGGGAGGCAATTAGGGCGTAATCCACCTGAAGAGAAAGGCGAGAGTGTTCAGACACACACACACACACACACACAAACAAAGGTATTACCACAAGCAACATGCCAAATCTCTGAAGGTTTGAAACATCTCGGGTATAGAGAGGTACTACTATAAGTGGAATTTCAAAAATAATTTGAAGATTGAAAGAAAGATTGTTTTCCAACAAGTTTTCGGAACACTCTTTACGTCTTCCATTTGTTGGTCCATTGGTTGAGCCAATCTGAAGTAATTATTGTATAGTTTGGAACTTTTCAATTAATTTCTTGCAAACAGAAATGCTATCATTGTTAAAAAGTTTATTTCGAGAAGATGTGCTCATATTTGTTTAGAGCTGGATATTTTATATATTTTATTTTATATATTTGTTTAGAGCTGCATATTTTATAACAAAAAGAGTTGTTGGGAATGCTTTAGGAAAAGTTTAGGTCTTGTTCATCGAAAATTCTTTATCTTGAATCAGAGTGCTTTTACTTTAAAAGTTAAATCAGCCAGACGGCACTTGGCACCACCTTTCGAGTTTTTCAGCGGCATCTGAAGTAAGCATGTAACCAGTTCTGGCAGCTCTACGTTTCATACGCCTCTCTCCCTTTCTCTCCTTCCCAGGCTTCTCTCTGCACAGCAGGGACAGTGTGCTGGGCCGAGGTCTGAATGATAATCAGCATCAAACCGAACGGGGAAGAGCTGCACGTTTCTCCATCCCTGGTGCTCGGACCTCAGCGCCCCACGCCAGACGAGGGCGGTGGGGGATGGAGAGGCGCGAGTGAGTGGGGGCCCCTGGAGGTTCCCCAGGCTACCGGGCCGAACCCTGCGCGGGACCCCCGTGGCCCTCTCCTCCTCTTTCAGGTGCACTTAATATCTGCAGCCGCAGCAAATTTGTCTTGGAGGCAAGTCCTTAGCTGCCACTCACTGTAAGCAGGCTATATTAAATTTTTATATTTATTGACAATTCATTACCATAATTGACTGCGCCAGGGTTTCTGGAAGAAGGTAGACTATGGGCCTCCTAAGCGTAAGGAGAGCTCCCTCTGAGCTGGATTTGCAATTAAAAACGCGGGTGGTTTGGAATTTATTTATTGTGTAAATATGATGAGTGGAATTTTTTTAAGTCCTGGCTGGAGAATTGCTCATTTCTCACCAGCTGTATTCGTGGATCTCTTCGAGGCCAATATGAAGCTGCTGAAGTTGTCAATTAACAGGGATTTGACCAACTGACCATGTGCCCCAAGCATTAGTAACCAGATAAAGTAAAAGGATTACTCTTAAAAACAATACAAATAATAATGCACAATACTGAATATATTAAACAAACATTACTACTAATATAAATACATTTTTGAAAATTATGCATATTTATATCAATACAAGTATTGAAAAAGTATACACTACTGAAAATTCAGGTGACAAAACTCACAAAAAATCCTAAAAAATTGTCAGTAAAATATGTGATTTGTAACATTTTTGTTCCATAATGAGGGTTGACACAACTGAACAAAACCTGGCAAACCGTTTGTTGCAATATTCCCTAATTTATTCTGACACTATAAATATCAGTGAATGCTTGATCTTGACAAAATTCTATGCCCTGTATGAATATGATTATGATGATTTAGATTCTTCTAAAGGCCCAGGACCTTCAGTGTGAGAGGCAGACAGACAGATACAGCAAAAGAAGGGGTGGAGGGGGAGATGTAGGTCTGTGACATATTGGAAAGCCGCCCATGTAGTGTCATGTGTCACAGAACTTCAGGACTGATCCCCCACAGTGCTTTGCTGCCATACCAACACTAGGGAGAAACAATGACACGTCCTCAAACAAGATGAGAGACAGTGGGCAGTTCAGTTGACAGTCACTGACAGTGTTGAAACTAAATTTTAATGAATGTAAATAAAAAACTATAACTATATATATATATACTGTATATACAGTATATATATGTATATTCACTACACGCCAGTTGGATGTTATATTACACTGAATTACTGAATCACAATATTGTTTTAACAACTGGCAGAGCATTTGTTTGTTATGCATAAGCCCGTGTTCATGCGCGAGTGTGTTGTGTGGCCGGGTTGTCAGTAGTCTGCTCTGGAATAATAGGACGTAATGAACTGTTTGAGTGTTTGCCTTCTCTCTTCCCAAAGGCTTTTTTCAGCACCAGCTGTTCATTAGGCAAAATATGCAAACAAGGTCTGGCCCTCCTCCACCCGCCCCCAACCCTCCTCCAGACCTCGCTAATCAAACATAGAGGCACGCTAAGCAGAGCACTTGCAATCCAGACAAATCAAAGATAGTGAGCGCTGTGAACTCTCACAGATCTCCACATGTGATATCTAACAAACGGTCTCCGATTTTAGTGCTCAGAGGTTGCTCTTTCATGGCTCAGGAGGCTAAAAACCGCTTTCACACTAACCAAACTAATCCAATAGGCAAAAATACATTGTATGGGTCAAAATTATAGATTTTTCTTTTATGCCAAAAATCATTAGGATATTAAGTAAAGATCATGTTCCATGAAGACATTTTGTAAATTTTCTACTGTAAATATATTAAAACTTAATTTTTGATTAGTAATATGCATTGCTAAGAACTTCATTTGGACAACTTTAAAAGCGATTTTCTCAATATTTAGATTTTTTTGTACCCTCAGATTCCAGATTTTCAAATAGTTGTATCTCGGCCAAATATTTATCTTGAATCAGAGTGCTTTTACTTTAAAAGTTAAATCAGCCAGACGGCACTTGGCACCACCTTTCGAGTTTTTCAGCGGCATCTGAAGTAAGCATGTAACCAGTTCTGGCAGCTCTACGTTTCATACGCCTCTCTCCCTTTCTCTCCTTCCCAGGCTTCTCTCTGCACAGCAGGGACAGTGTGCTGGGCCGAGGTCTGAATGATAATCAGCATCAAACCGAACGAGGAAGAGCTGCACGTTTCTCCATCACAGTGTTGAAACTAAATTTTAATGAATGTAAATAAAAAACTATAACTATATATATATATACTGTATATACAGTATATATATGTATATTCACTACACGCCAGTTGGATGTTATATTACACTGAATTACTGAATCACAATATTGTTTTAACAACTGGCAGAGCATTTGTTTGTTATGCATAAGCCCGTGTTCATGCGCGAGTGTGTTGTGTGGCCGGGTTGTCAGTAGTCTGCTCTGGAATAATAGGACGTAATGAACTGTTTGAGTGTTTGCCTTCTCTCTTCCCAAAGGCTTTTTTCAGCACCAGCTGTTCATTAGGCAAAATATGCAAACAAGGTCTGGCCCTCCTCCACCCGCCCCCAACCCTCCTCCAGACCTCGCTAATCAAACATAGAGGCACGCTAAGCAGAGCACTTGCAATCCAGACAAATCGTTGACAGTCACTGACAGTGTTGAAACTCAATTTTAATGAATGTAAATAAAAAACTATAACTATATATATATATACTGTATATACAGTATATATATATATATATATTACACGCCAGTTGGATGCTATATTACACTGAATTACTGAATAATAGGACGTAATGAACTGTTTGAGTGTTTGCCTTCTCTCTTCCCAAAGGCTTTTTTCAGCACCAGCTGTTCATTAGGCAAAATATGCAAACAAGGTCTGGCCCTTCTCCACCCGCCCCCAACCCTCCTCCAGACCTCGCTAATCAAACATAGAGGCACGCTAAGCAGAGCACTTGCAATCCAGACAAATCAAAGATAGTGAGCGCTGTGAACTCTCACAGATCTCCACATGTGATATCTAACAAACGGTCTCCGATTTTAGTGCTCAGAGGTTGCTCTTTCATGGCTCAGGAGGCTAAAAACCGCTTTCACACTAACCAAACTAATCCAATAGGCAAAAATACATTGTATGGGTCAAAATTATAGATTTTTCTTTTATGCCAAAAATCATTAGGATATTAAGTAAAGATCATGTTCCATGAAGACATTTTGTAAATTTTCTACTGTAAATATATTAAAACTTAATTTTTGATTAGTAATATGCATTGCTAAGAACTTCATTTGGACAACTTTAAAAGCGATTTTCTCAATATTTAGATTTTTTTGTACCCTCAGATTCCAGATTTTCAAATAGTTGTATCTCGGCCAAATATTGTCCTATCCTAACAAACAATACATCAATGGAAAGCTTATTTATTCAGCTTAAAACTCATTGACTCAAAACGGACCCTTATGACTGGTTTTGTGGTCCAGGGTCGCATATAGTTGGGAAAATCTAGGGAGAATTTGATAAGAAATGCTTGAAGAATACTGAAAAAACTTTGTCTCAAATGTTTCTCCTAAAATTAAAAGTAGACAATTGTTGACATAAAAAAAGTATGGACCTTTAAAATTAATATAAGTAGCATATAGATATAGATATAGAAATGCTTGAGTTCATATTGAGATTTTTTGATTGAAAACTTTCATATCAGTGTGAGACGTTGTTTAGGTCTGTTCTGGGATTCAGCATTTTACATTTATTAAGTTTTTGACATCTTAAAGATGTCCTTTAAGAAAATCACGTCAGGAGCCGGATTCAAGCTCGTTTTGATAGCTGTATAATTTACCAGTGCATGCGAGTTTGTTCACCATTTAATTTCATTATTGTTTCGAAGAAACTATTGAGATGTTTTTGAGACATCAAAGATGTTAAATTTGGGTTTTCTCAGTCCTTTAGTTGACTTGGTGGAAATCGCATCTGGAGCCAGATTTGAACTTGCGTCGCTCACTGTATGATTTACTAGAGCATGTGTGTTCCCAGCCATGAAAAGTCACCATTATATGTTTCTTAAACTGTGCTCTTATCCTTAGATGACCTCTCCGTATCTCTATCATATAATTTATCGCCTGTAATTCACTCTGTTAAAATACACAGCTCTCCGATAAGCTGTGAACTCTTTGAAAAAGTTCTGCCGTTCACGAGTCGCTGTGTTTGAGCTGTCACTACAGTTGGAGATCACATTGTTGAGCAGGAGAGGGAGGAGGGAAAACAGAGAATTCAAAATTAAACTCAAGCCTTACTGACAGGCAGACAGAAGCATATTTATTTATAAGCAGTTTAAACATCTTCTGGAAGTAGGTGTGCATGTGTTGGAGAATTAAAGGTCTTCGTCTGCAGAAAACTTCAGCTGAGCCTGAGGCGTCCGTCCAGCGATGTTCCTCAGAGACGACTGAGGTAAATCATACATATCTTCTGTTTTCCCTCCCTGTCCGTCTCTCTCTGTGTCTCTCATCCCTTCTTCACCGCGATGACTCGTGCATGCTTAACCAACCATTTTATTTATTCGTTCACCACACACTTGATAAGAAGTGTACAATTGATTATTCTGGCCACATTAGTTTATACCTAAGCGTAATCTATTTTTAATGGAGTGGCCGGGGCAGTCGATAGCACTTTAAAGGATGTTGATCCACTCTGGCAAAAAGGCCTGATGAGATCTACAGGGAGGAATGGAGGAGACTGAAGCTGACGCTCACCTGTTGCCCCGTGACCAGGAGGATGGAGCCCTCTTTGGCGTGTATCACCTGCCGGAAAACGTGGTCCAGGATGAGGAGTTCACTCCAACAGTTCTGGAGAAGCTTCATTTGGTCGTCAACCTGGGGGGAGACCAACAAATGTGTTGAACTTGAACTTCTTCAAGTAGGTGGTCATGTTTGAAATGCTTTAAAGTTTTGAATTGAACCTTGATTAACTGGATCATCTTTGAAAATTTTTCAGTTTTGAGTGATTTCCTTTTTTGGGTAAATCGTGTTGTCCTGTAGCAATTGTCCTTATCTGAATCAATATTTTTTAGCCTATTTAGAGTTATCAAATAAAAATGTACCCTGTTTACTTTTTAAAAACTTGTTTCTAGTCACATAATTAATAATTATTGACATCATATTATCTGGGTGGGGATCCTGAAAGAACGCCCCTTTTTAGCATATTTCATTAAACTCTACCCCAATAATCATGTTATATACACCACCAGTCGTCAAGCTTTTGAAAGACATTAACACTAAAATATTACGCAGCACAACTGTTTTCAATATTGATTTGGTTTCTTGAGCTACAAATCATCATATTAGATTTCTGAAGGATCATGTGACATTGAAAACTGGAGTAATGATGCTGAAAATTCAGCTTTGATCACAAAAATAAATTACATTTTAAAATATATATTCAAATAGAAACACAGTTGTTTAAAAATGTAATAACATTTCACAATATTACTGTTTTTACTGTATTTAAATCAAACCTTGGTGAGCATAAGAGACTTCCTTCAAAAATATTAGAAAATCTTAATTATTTCAAAAAATGTTACCAGTAGTGTAGAAACAACTTATCATGATCAATCAATCTCAGATGGATAATATCAAGTTCTGTTGTACATTTTTGTTTTTCAGTTAATATCCCAAATATGCAACATTATGGAGTTCAAAACCATAAGGAGTTTGGTTTTTCACTCACAAAAGTTGTCATTTGAGTGTTATTTCAACCTTCGACACTCGTGTCTCTGCGTTAGTAGTTCGGACAGCCGGTAGGAAATCAATATTGGTCTTTAGGTCGCAAGAGGTCGTTCTCGTGTGAACTTCACCAAATGTCACTGTTTTTCACCCGCTGTTAATTAATATGTTTGTCAAGAGATACAGCTTCATTTATCCTTTGTGATTAAGTAGCGTGTTTAGCGTAGCGCACTTAAGAGCACGTACATTGAAGCGCTCTCGCACAGAAGTTGAACGGCTCCAACAACACATTCATTGTCACCCTCCTGGGTTCTCATGGCTCCCTTGGTCAATTATTAAACACAAGAGTGAGAATGAGGAAAAATTGTGAAAATGAGTCCCCGTCCGACTATTCTTCAAACTGCTACGTGTTTCTGTGTGGACAGTTGAAGAGCTACACATGAAACGGGTTTGATTCTTAATTCACCCACGAGAGAAGTTTAAAAAAGGGTCATGAAAATACAGAAATGTAAATGAAAATGACTGATTATGAAGACTTGTGAAAACAGTGAGTCGTGAATATAATACTTGTGGTTTCTCAAGGCAAAGATAACGTGAATGAAATGCCTCTTACTACCTTGGGCGACTCCATCGATATCTGGTTCGGATTGTTTTGACTGCTTGTGATTCTTGTTTGTGCTGCTCTCATAGTCATAACAAATGCTACAAAATCAATTGAAAGAATGGATTTCCAAATCCGGCAAAGCAAAAGCCTCAGAAAACCAATTAAATATCTTCTTGTTTGGTATCACTGGATCACTTATATCAACTCTTTTACTGTACAATCAATACTGTATGGCCTGATTTCTAACATAAAATCTTCAGGTTTGAAATACTAGGACCGGTTTTTAAGCCCAAGAAGCAAATATACGCGTTTGGCATTGTTAACACATCTCATGTTTCAATTCATGCAAGCCAGACATGCCCATTCTACAAAGAAACCTGTCATTTGGTCATTTTTTGACAGGCATTCTCATCAAAGGCTCTGTCCCCACATGAGCCTCTGATGCCCGGCGCTTTTGGGTCATCAAACAGGGACGAGGGTGCCATGAGTCAAAACAGGGGAAGACACAGCAGACTGGGGCTGCTGCCAGAAACACGTCAGATGGGCAGAGAAGGCATCTCTGACCTTTTAAAGTGTGTCTGACACTGCTGTTTCCATGTCAGCTCACTTCCCTTTGCACTGTCACAGCTATGTGTAACTCGGCTCTGATGTGCACTTACGACAGGCAAGCTATGTCCTTTAACACTGGAGGTAGTGTGACTTTGTAGTTTGATACACAGTGGCTATCAAATGTGATCAGCATTTGCGTTTTTCTGTGTAAATCGTTCATAAAAATAGTTGTACTATTTTTAATTTAAACACGTAATTTTCTTAAATGTAATGTTGAATTGAACTCATATACCTACAAAGGTTGGTGTTTTTTGGGCCACTTTCATGAAAAACAAGCAGAACGAACTGTTACAATTTCTGTATAAAATTGTAAAAATGATTGTTAATTTTTTAACAAATAATGTTTTTTTAACAATGTAAACAGAAAGTGTGATTTACACAATTGACACTCAAATGCGTACAAAAGTTTTCATTTATTGGGTCTCATTAGTCAAACACGAGCAGAATGATTTGTGTAAAACTACTTTTGCTATTTTTAAATCCTATTAACACTATTTGCTTCCGTAAATTTGGCAATTTACAGGGAAAAAAGTTAAGAACAATTTTTACAAAAATTGCTATCAAATCTGTATAAAAGTTTATGTTTACGGGACCTCGTTCATGAAATCCGCAGAATTCATTTATTTAAATTGTTCGTAAAACTACTTTTACTATTTTTAAGTAATATTGAAACCATTCTTGAATTGAATTTTGCCAATTTATGAAGGAATGATTTTACAAACAATTTGCAAAGAAAATAGCATTATTGTTTAAATACATAATATCTATCAATTACATTACAGGAAATTTTTGTTTATCATTCGACAACTGGGTTTATCATTTAAAAAAAATTGGGCTTATTTTGATAATTCTGGGTTTATCATTTTGACAATTTTGGGTTTATTAATCATGAAAACAGAACAACACCAACTGTTTATTTAGTTTTTTACAAACAGCTTAAACAGAAATACATTGTGCATTAAAATTATATACATATCACCCAGCAACACTGACAAAATATGCCTTTTTTAAATGTTTTAGACTGTCATACAGTTGATGTGATTAGTATTTTTTTCCAGCATGGATCACAGGAATAAACTCAGGCAGACTCACATATTGTAAATTCAGCTGTATAATCATGACAAGCTAAAAATAAGATGGCAATCGGGTGTTAATGTTTATCTAGATGAGCTGGTGGTGTACTGTAAGGTGCTGGAAAAATACCTGGAGATCAGCCAAATAAAAACACGCTTATTGATTTCAGTCTAGAGGCATTAAATTAGGAATCTGAGCTTTTGTTTGACTGATTAAGAAGTGATTAAACATCAAATCTGTTGACCTACACTGAAATCTCACAATACACACATTCTTCTTGCATCCCTCAGATATATAAAGTGTGCAACAGTTAAAACTCAGATTTTTGCGTTTATTCACGTGCTGTGCTTCCAAATTGTCAAAATCAGAGCTTTTACTTTTCTTATGATAAAAAATGCATATCCTCCAAGAAACCAATTTAATTCCTTTACGGTCATTCAGGCATTGCTAGATCAATGTAGCAATCAATTGCTGAGCCCCAGTCCTGCTCCTAAAGAAGACCCTAAGACCCTGTCTGACTCAACGGCACATTGAACGGAATTAAGGAAGTTGCCATGTACAATGTACCATGATTATTTGTAAAAAATTACATTGCAAATTCCTGCAATATATATATATATATATATATATATATATAT